CCCAAACATACTCATTGCTCATGTAGTGTTTCCACCGGACATTACCAACGCTACGAAGGCAGCCGGCGGTGAACGTAACAAGCATCTGTCAACCTGGTGGGTAGGGTTTCGCATCCGTACCGGAGGGTTGAACGCACAGCTGCATTGTAAATTCTGCGCTTTGGGACGAGAGCGATGTCGCACTGGCGCCACAGGTGGCGAAGATTCGCAAAAGCGCCTCGAGGTTTTGCTATACGGTTCGAGGTCTTGTCTTCTATTCCATCGGCGACGATACAGCTGCCTAGATACCTGAATTTTTCAACGATTTCTACATGATCACAACACGGAGTCAGCGAAGGGATGGGCTCCTACAAATCCTGAAGAAGGAATTTGGATTTCAACAGTGCAAAGCATAGCCCAAAACAAATGATACCCAATGTTAATATGTCCAGTGTCATTTGGCACGTTCGGGAGCTGTCACAAGTAAGGGCAATGTCGTCGGCGCACTCCAACTCAAAAGTGATCACCTGGAAGCAGGTACAAGCCTAGTAGGTCAGGTCTAATGTACGCAGTCTCCGTGAATACATTGGTAGAGAGGTTAAAAAGGAAATATGAGATCGAGCAATCTCACCTCACAGCGCTGGAGATATTGAAGGACGGCGAGAGCTAGCAGTAAGCCCACACTCTACCCGCACTATGCGCGTAAAGCGCACCGATAATGTTTACGTATTTTGCGGGTAAACCTTTTCTGGGTAGGCAATCCCAAAGAGCACATCGATCCATCCAATCGAAAGCAGCTTTGATGTCGAAGAACACGACTGCGGTGTTGCCGATAAATATAGCGGGGCCCCAATAAGTGACGTAATGTGAAGAGGGATCAATACGGTCGCGAATTCAACAAAACCCGGCTTGTTCCTCACGAATCTGACTGTCAGGGGTACCAGAAAGTCTACGAAGGACGACAGAAGTGAGTATATTAGAGGCAATTGGGATCAGATTGATTCCTCTATAACTGTTCATTAAGAATGTGAGCCACCCTTGAAAATTGGGACTGTGACGAAACGGGCATAGTCTGCTGTGAGTTTTCTGTTCCCACAGCTTCACTAACAAATCGTGCAAAGCAGCGACAAGAACAGGTCTCTCGAATTTGAAGAAAGCTAGGGGAAATGTTTCAACTCATGCGATGTTATTCAAGTTCAACAACCTGATCTCACGTTCGACTTCTGTGAAAGAGGGTGGAAACAAGGGGCAGGCCTAGGAAGGAGGGCAATCAAAGGCCGATGGAAAACCTGGTGACTCTGGTTGAATAAAAATGATTTTCAAAGTATTCGGCCCAACGCTCCAAGTGTTTTGACAAACACTGGATTGATCGTCAACAATCGTCAGATATGGTCTCGCTAACACCAAGTCTTCTGCTGCCCGTTTCCCGCATCAGAGGGAATAACATAAGATGGTTACCAGAGAGCATTGGCTGTCTCCATCTACGATACACGAAGTCACCAGGCAGTGCGGTTTCTCTTCAGGTTAACACGCAGTTTCGCCCTGAGAACTTTACGGGTCTCATTGTACTCGCTTCCAACCGGAACATGTCAGCGAGCATCCAAAAGATCCAGAGACTGCGTACAGACCCAATAAACAGGTTGGCAATTCGAGTTGCCACATGAAGACATGTCTGCTGCTAGTAACATTTGGCGAATAAGCGACCAATGATGTTCAACTGTGTTCAATGGGCGCTTACTCAACTCAGATGCCAGCTTACTTTTATACGCATTCAGGACATCTGACTTCGCCATTTGGCAAGTATTAATGCGCTCACAAAGCCGCGGCGGACGCCTGCCGAAACGCACTCGCAGGTCAGCGCATACAAGTGTGTGGTTAGAGTCCACGCTCGTGCTCCAGATCGAAGGACAGTTTTGGACGCAGCCTCTCCAGCAAGACGGCCACTTTGAGTTCATTGCTGGTCCGAGGCTGGTAGACGCCAAGCCATCCTCCGACGATGCTGTGTCGGAGGTTATTGCTTGCGATAAATAGTTGAGCATCTTCACAAAGGTGTAGCTACCGTTCAACGTTATCATTGCGGGAGCCTACACAGTGTTAGCCGAGAAAATGCAGCTCATCAGTGAACAGTATTCCAACTCGGGCGTTCAAATCCCCGACAAACACCACAAAATCAGCACTTGTTCTGTATGAGAGGAACTCGTACAGTTGGTGATATAATCCACCCTTCACTGAATCAGCAGTACACCTTGCGGGTGACTGGGCGGAAAGGACAGACAGGCACCGTTTATCCACGCGCGACTTCGAAGCTTTGAATGAGCCAACCAGTCTGATGACGAACATTAGGCTGCTGATAGAGATCCAGTAATCAGGGCAGCTTCAGCCCGGGGAATCAGAGCAATGTCCACACCGGCTTGACCGGCATTTCAGGCCGCGTCATTTCCGGACACACACAATGAGAAAGTGCGGTCAGTGTTGCATGTGCTGGGTCTCAGGGTAATCACAGTGCTCAAATCTTGCAGGCGAGTTTCCAATAAGCACCAGATAGCGATCGATAGGGCCTCTGGTTTTCAGGCAAATGCTGTGTTGGCAAATCTGCAACAAAGTGTGCACGTTGGGACATGTCAGTCATAGCGGGGATCGAGGGCTCCAGAGAGAAACCGATGAACAGGTGTTGTCCGCTTGGTTGAACATGAACTTGTCTACTGGATTAGAGTGAATCACTGCGATTTATGTGTGAGTCGAAACTGGAAGACAAGCGATCATTGGAAAAATGGGGGAGGGCCAAGAACTGGGGGTTGAAAACAGTGATAAAGTGTGACGTTGGAAGAGGACGACGAAGATGAAAGTGCGAAAGAGAAGGCTTGAGAAGTAGCATCATTACCTCTACCCACCCTGGTCGATGAGGCAGATAGGGCGCCATCGATTATTCCCTGGGACGACCGGATGATCAAGAAATCATTAGGTAACACAGATGAACGCATCTAGTGAGTTGTCGGCCAAGAAATACATTCATTTATGTGAGTAGGCGTTGGACATTTATGCAATGCTCATGATGATCCGATATCGCCCCGTGTGCCACCTTTGCGTCACTGATCGAATGTAATGGATCCGTGAAGTATTGCCGTGTGACTGTTTGGTAATATTTGAAACAAAAATCCGGGTCACCAAGCAAATATAAATTTTTGCACGGAAAGTATCCCGGCTAAGCATTAGGGTGAGGTATTGGTCAATGATAAAGCTCACATGCTTAGGGACTCAATGTGGTTTTCAATTAATTCACATTTTAGATGGATATAGGGTAAATATTCCTACAAAAGAGATGCAGTCATGAATTGGAATAGGTGAGATTGGAATGCCACAGCATCGGATAAATCTCTTTGATGCAAATTCGCTTAAAGACAGCAGCACAGAGAGATGTCTTCAATGCAACAAAGGCATGCTCACCAACGAGTGCATCACCACGGGAACAGCCGCACTGAATAGGCGTTCCTGCACCTCGTGTAATTGTTCACTGTCATGCAAGTCCACATTAACCGATGTCCACCCATTCTCCTCGGAGTAACCGGCTATATCCGGTGGAGCTTTCAGAACGGGAATAATTTCCCAGCTTCACCACCACATTTGTGTTGCCGATTTCTGTGGAGTCTTAGCCGAAATCCGCGATCACAACTATCATACTTTCCGGATATATTCCTAGGTATTTACTCTCATTCGAACAGGTACTCTTACGGGTATACCGCAATTATCCTATTATCACGCTACCAAGCTGTGCGGTAGTTGCAACCCAATTTGCGAATAGTGCCTTTGCACTTATTCTCCTACCTTCCGTCCTAGATCAAAGGTGCAGATCACATTCGCTGTCGGCATCCAACCCAAACCGGCGACGATCGACAAGTGCCGGTCTGTCACTTAACCCATGTGGATTTCACTCGACCTCGCGTCGATGTTTCCGCATGTGTGTGAATCACGTTAGCGTTGACAGTAACATCATTTACTAATTGCCCAGGCGAAGAAACTAGACTCATCCTCCCGTGGCTGCCCAAATATCCAAGCTCTTAAAGGGTGCGCCATCATATTAAAACCATACCGAGTATTCAGTAAAAATGTTTGTTAGCACTTAAATTGAAGATGAAATCAAAAACGACGAAAAAACATACGGATGTCACTGCTAACAATCCATCCGCTATTGCCGTTCATAATCCAAACTCCGAAAGACACCGGATGCAGCTATAAACTACTCTGAAGTCGTTGTTTTTTTCACTGAAACAGTTTCACTATTTGCCACGATATACAGGCATTTTCGACATTTGCGTTTGCTAGACTATCTACATGTTCACTAATGCTGTCTCATGTCCAATTTTTGATATGGAATTGAGATACAGTGCGTACTAGGCAGTTTTTCATTTCGGCCATGAAATCATAAACACATTCAAAAAATTAGTAGTAAGCTTTTCCAACTTGAGGAACCACCGTCCCACTACAGAATACAGATGCTGGTGATTCGATTGACTAAGGTGCAATCGTTCGAGACCGTTTATTAAACTAACACATGTGCACGCGGGGCCAGAATCGTGAACGAAATTTGGCCCAAACAACAAACGAACGGCTAGAAACCTCTAAGCAACATACCATTCCGTCATCATTGTCGATCTATTGTGACTGCCACTTACTTTCCCCCACCCTACAATAAACTGCTGCCGAGTTTCACTACAAAGCAAATACATAAAAGTGTGGCACAAAAATTAGTACTGAATGAATGCACTGTGAACGACTGGGTCTCTGATCTGTGGGAAAACAAATGTTTCGAAAAGATTTTTCTTTTTCATTAGGTTGTAAGGTACGGAAACTATTACACAACTCCTGCGCAAAAAAATTACGCTCCCACTTTGAGATCGTATACAGCCTGTCGGTAGATATGAATTTTATTAATGTCGAATAAAACAATATAAAATTAAACCACTGACTGAAACCAGGGTCTGAGAAACGGTAAAAAGAAATGTCATCCAGAAAATTCAACTCACCGTGCCGCCAATGGTGTTGAAGGACGTTTTCGACCCATTATCGTGTTTCTTCCTATGCTGCCGGAAGGACAATAATTTACGTTTTCTCGGGCGCATCATAGGCGAGTCTCTTTCAAAGGTGCAGTAGGTTGGGAAGCTATGCACTGATTGTACATCAGACGAGGGAGGTGGCGCATTGGGGTTGAAAGAATTGGAAAGATGGGCCTTGGTACCGAAAGTTCTAGGGGCGAGCCCAGTGGCATAATGTGTCTCAGTCACGGAATCGTCAGATTCCTGTAGAGATCGTGTAGGTTCATTATTGTCTGATCGACCATTGATGGTCTTGTCATCATGGATGGGTGTAGAGTGACTGATGGACTCAGCTTTGGAAGAGAAAGACAAGTAGATAAGAAAGAGACAACCAAATGAGACTTTGATTTATAATTGGAACAAAAAACCAACAACCATAACAGTCCATCACACATGTCATCAAAGGGGATTAATATGAGCTGATGCAGTAATGGTGACTAGAACTGGTTAGAAGAAGCAAGATCGATTTCCAATCCGTTTGAGTCAGGAATTCAGGGCCAGAGCAGTGCGTCCATGGTGACTGCCTAGCAAAGGAATTGTGTTCACATAAATGAATGTCACCCCAGTTCCAAACTTCATGGTATCGGAAGACGAGAAGTTGAGCATACATATGATAAAACCACTCATCAATCCGGATGAAATAGCTATACAACTGTATGAAGATTATACTCAGTGAAACGTCCTGGGCTGGAGACAAGACAGCCATTGCACTAAACTAAGGTATATCGAGAAAAACGCGGATTTTCAGGAGACAAAAATCATCAAAAATAAAGAACAGTGTAAGCAAAGTTCAAGAGACGTGCGGAAACAGAGAGCCAATGGATAACCGAAGTCGTCAGCATAAGTAACGGTAAGCCCGTCTCGTTGGAAGAGCGATAGTAATTTAGGCATGCTTACGTAGAAGTTCACAACCACAGGCTTTTGTTGTTTATCTCATTCATTACTGTTCGTTTTACTATGTCATATCGTCAGCCCCATTGGTTATTTACGATGGCTGTATCTGCGTGCGGATCACAGGTTCACTTTGAAGCTAACGTTATCTCTTGCCTTTATTTGTGTACATCTGGTTGGTGCCTTATTTATTCGGTCCTTATGGTCTTTGTCCCGCCGCACGCCCTCAGTACCGCGATAGGTTCTAACATTTACGCATCATGCCATATAGCAGTACCATTTCCTTATATATACAACCCTGAGCCTTGTTCCTCATCTGCATGTTTTCACTACCGTTATTGATTGGAAGCAATCGGGGAACTCAAGACAACACTAGAGGTAAACATAGCGCGATGATTTGTGAAGAGTTTTATCCAATGGGTTATCGTCAGCGCAACACTGGGCGCTTCAAGAACAGCTCATACCAGATTAGTCAACGGACAAGGTCGTACAAACCCAACCTTCTGGGCTACAGAGTAGATGGTGTACCAGATTACTATGAAGATGGACAGGCGTCGTAAACCTACTGACATGTGCGTGGATTTTCAAGCCAAACGATTAAAAGCAAAACGTATTTCGTTACCGAGACTAGGTCTATGGATACTGAAAGAAGCATAAATGATGCATGATTAAGGCATATCAAAATGAAGTTAGCTTCAACCGGTAATAGCATCTGAGTACTTTAAAACAGTCTCACCAGTCCTCACCAGCAAATGCACCAGCAGACATGCTCTCCAGGTTGGCCTAACTTCACAGTTCTGCTAACAGATCGAGCAAACGGTCCTTCTTTGAGTTTGAACACCACAGTTTATGTCAAAGGAGTTTTCAGATTATACTAGTTAGACATCTCGTGCCACTTCTTCTAGGGGTGTCGATCGGCCCCAGACAACACCAACACTTGGAGTGAATGGCAGACTACCCACCCAGTTGTCGAAGCAGCTAATTTCGAGTAAGATAAAATGAACAAGTGAAGTACAATAGCTTCAGAATGATGGCCAACAAATCCTGCAACACACCAACGGTTAACACCGACCACCTTCAATGCTGTTAAGAAACATATGGGTAAAAGTGATAAGACTCAGCCATAGCCTGTGTCCGCTTATCCGCCTACGGTAGGCAATTCATACGGCAACCCAATTGAAACTGTGCGACGACCGATGCAGAACGGGGCTGAGTATTTAGAAAGAAGATACACCGAAACACGACCCCTTACGACGAGGTACTGGAGAGTGATAACCAACCCAAGCACGAGGTGGCATAAGGTCAATGCGTCGATGAGGACGCGGATCGTATCAGGTGTACCGTTAGAGTCAACAGCTGTGTGTTTCTGACCAATGCAATCCGGTATGAATTGATAGAGGAATTTTGACCTCGCATGTGTCACAAAGGTGGCAACATTTTAGCAAACGGAAGATAGACCGCATGGCCTCAAGACTGAGAGGGGAATCTTGACTTAACAGCAATAAGGCACCAGCAGTACGCCGGTACACGGTGCCGACGCTTCGCAGCCGCAAAACCACCACCGGTCGCACGTGGGATAAGAATACTGCGAGGGTCGCCCTGCCCCAACGCAGACTCGAACCTGCGCTGTCAAGTTACAAGACAAACTCGTAGGCTACGGGCCGGCAATTTTGACGCAAGCAGCAGTGAAGCAGAAGACTAGTTGAGCGAATATTATACGCTTGTTTGACCTATCCGTAACGCATCATGTGTTTCTTCATATTCTGCATGATAAATCCTTATCTAATTTAATGAAAGCACAGAATAGTTGGGTAGGCAAATAGACCGAGATGTAGATGAATTCATATCGAGGCTCAACGGTCGGTCACCAGTATGGTGCTTCTACGCACCAATTAAGCTTTTAATGTCTTTACAAATTAGCCACAGAGGCAGCTGAGGGATATATCAGTCGTCCACATTCAGCGTTGTTGTTTTTCACCTCCGACCAAATCCATTACGTTCATAACGCAATCTCCAAAAGGAAATAGAGTGATATTTCGGAAAAGTATAATCTGAACAGTCGATTGGCAAGAATTGTGGTGCTCAGAATTGAAGAAGGACCATTTGTGCAATCCATAGGCAAAACTGTGAGCGTAGGCCAAGGGAGTGAAGACATTGACTTGGCACACTAAACACCATAGAAGAGTGGATAAATATGACGCATTTATAGCAGTGCGCCCAAGAAAACCGGTGAAGAACTGATCCTAAAGAGCAGACAACGATATATTTCATCGCGATGGTGATACTATCCGAAACATAAAGCGTACCAAACCTACATGTCATACAGTATGTTGTCAAGGTATTTATCCAGATATGCAGTAAAACGGTCTACGGCATCTCACTACAAACATATTCCATAAAAGTGGTATGGGTTGAAGCAAGCAAAACGTCGAGCAAGTTAGTCAGCAATCGAAAATCTAGGACATAAGAATACCAAGAAACGAGACAAAATTAAGATAAGTCACACTGGTGTTGATAGTGTTAATGAAAGATCCGTCTGAACAAGTATAAGAAAATTGGCAGAAAATGGCGTTTCGTATAAATAAATGGTATATTTTCGACAACGCGGGGCATGTCTTCCTAGGCATGATCAGAGTAAAGCTACACAAATAATCGATCAATGTACAGAAACGTCAGTGAATTTATGTTACATAAATACATATATCAAGGTATATGAATGAGGGGAAGTTGTTTGTACTTGTGATTGGGTTCTATCAGATCGAAAGACTGCGAAAGCGCCAAAAAACTCTTCGCGGTAAATGAATGAAGTTTGCAAGTTGGGGAAGATCGTTTGGACTGGCAAGGAGTAATGACTTTATTTGGTGGCGAGTCACACCCGTCACTTTGCAATGTAATTAAGCAGAGGCTTGTGGCTTTTTATAGGGAGAACGCTTGCCACACAAAAGCTCACCACGTCCTGGAACACCATCGCCGAACCATTAGCTGGAACAATATATACCCGAACCACCAAGTTCGCACTACGGGGAGGTTGTTCGGCGAGCTAAGTACGGAAATATTAAGAGGAAAATATATATGAATACAGAGATGTGAAGGAACAAAGTAGAGCCAGGAGTGGAGGACAGATGCGACACGTGAACAACTATGGTAATTCAAGGCTTGCGAAGAACTGTTTCCGTACACGGAGTGCGGACATGACCCGGATGATCGCGATAGCATCGGTTAAATGCAGGTTGTAAACATTGCTTAACACAAGTGTGCCCGGATCAAACTGATGACGGGTGTCTAACTATAGATAAAACAGGTGGTTTTCGTGCACTCGTGAAATGAGAAACCAAGAAGTGTGTTAGTTCACGCTGAAATCACTTAGAAACATGCCTCCTATCAGTAGTCTTAAATATTTTCTTGTTTAAAATGACTTAAAACACTGATAGCTCAGGTTGAGGTCCGCGTGTCATCAGTTTCGCAATTGATTTGCAAGCATTTCGTCTCCAAACGAGGTGACTTATTCAGTGCAGTATTGGTAAAAAGGAACTGTGGCGAGAGAATATCTCCCACACATGGGCTGCGGTACTTGAAAAGGATACCACACAGTTTCCAAACTGCCCAATGTTTATGTCAAATCGTTGTAATGAGCAGGATGAAGAAAGATTTGCTTGAATATATTTGTTTCGATACGGCCGTAGCAGTGTAACAAAACGCAGTATGTGTGTGTAAGAACAGTCCACAATCAGTTGCACTAGACAAGGTTGAATGAGAAGGCTGCTGATGTGCAGAAATGTAGCCCAACGAAACCACGGAAGGCTACTGTACGCTAAGGCGGCATGAGTTAAAGGGAAGTGAATCTGTCAGGCTGATGCAATCGGTTCATTCATTACCGAAATGAAACCTCTCTGTTATAGACAAGAACTATTGCGATCAGCCCAAAGAAAAGTGTCTGCTGCGCTCTTACAGAAAACTGCCAACTCGTGCGTACCCCGAAGAACAATGCAGCTGGGGGTGTAACACTATAAAAAGATGAATGACAAAGTACCACTAGAAAAACTACGATCACCCATGGAACAAAAAGCATCGTGACTGAGAATATGATGGCTTAGGTAGAATGGAAACAATACGTGCCTGATAAGGTATGTAACTCCTATTGAGAGCAACTAGCATTTTCAGGGTATGAAAAACAAGAATAGAAGGGGCTAACAAAATTCGGCGGAACGAACCAGAGAAGCAAGCGGGTGCTGCAAGACAACTAACCGCAGTGCTTAAGATATTTGGGAGAACCACAGACAAGTTGTAATCAGAAAACTTGAGACTCAGAACAGCAGATGCAACCTAACAGAGAAAAAAAACCCGGCAAAAAATTAAGCGGCCGCGAGGTAAACTAGGGTCGTGGCGCGAGTGTTAAAGACAA